TCGGTCAGTGCGACCAAAGCGGTTTCCGTGCTGTAGCCAGGCCTGAATCCAGACTGAAAGGAGTCTAATAAGAGGGAACAAAATAAGGCAGGCTTAAAAAGACCCAATAAGGCAGAAGGAGTCAAGTCCTCATCCTCCGACAGGTCAGAATCACGAGAGACCTGCTCCTCAGTATCCGCAGCAGAAGGCTGAGAGACGCTTGCAGAAGTCGCCCCTTGGGCCTGGTTAGAACGACCCCTCTTAGAGTTGTTAGAAGTGGAGCAATGAGGAGTGGCAGCAGCAGGAGGTCGATGCTGAAGGCCTGCAGCAATGCCCCGCTCAATGGCAGCTGCTATGATGTCAGCCATATCATCAGGGTTGATGGTGACAGCCCTGGGGGCAGGGGAACCCACATCAATGTCGGGGGTGATGCTGCCATCCCCTTCAGAATCTGAATCCCCTTGAAATCCAATCCTGTCCTCAGGGTTCAAAGGAGAAGCTGAGGGGGGGACATCCCCATCAGTATCATTGGAGAGGTCCTCCATAGGGTTGAAATTGGTTGGAGGAGAAACCCTAGGAATGGGGACAGTAGTAGAACAATGATTGGTCTTGGAAGTGGCCTTTTGTGGAGCAGGGCCCTTGTCTGTAGGTGCACCAGGAGAGGGAGTTTCCTCGGCCTCCTGAGGGGAAGCAGGCCTAGGGGCCTTGGCAGGCTTGGTAGAAGAAGGCTTGGAATGGCCTCTCTTTTGGCTCTTAGGCTCAGAGGGGACTGGAGCAGAAGGGGCAACTGGGCTGGGCAAATCCCCCCCTCGGGAAGGGTTCTGTTACTTGCCATTACTCACGATTACTCTTTTAACCAGCAGAGATCTTGCAAAGCGTCGTAGAAGGCTTTCCGCCCAAACAAAATGGCCACCGCTGTTTTTGCGCTCAAATTAACTGCCTCAGTAAGTAGACCGGGCCCTGAGGAAGAGCTGAGGTGGTGAGCTGACCAGGCAGCTTATCGCCCGGCAGTTTTACTACCCATCAAGCGCTCCGATGCAAAGAGAGGCCTCAGGAACCAAAGGAGGAGGCTGTGGAGGCTTGGAAGGTGATCTATGCAGCCTCCGCAGTTAGAAAAGGCTCCTCTGGCGTGCGCGGCCACGGTGAGCATCCCTGAGGCGTCCAGCTGCAGCAAAATGCTTTTTTGGGAGGCTTGGGCTTTTTCCGGCAGCGCAGCAGCAGCGAGAGCCTGGAGCTCCTTCGGACAGCGTGGCAGCGACGAGCGGCACTAAGAAAGCCTGAGGCGAACCTCGTAGGCTGGCCACATGACTGTTAGCTGTTATCCCCTTATTCGAGCGACACGCCTCTCCCAGCCGCTTTTGCAGCTTCCCGGAGCGCCGAGAACCTTCCTGCCTCCACTGGACTTCGNTGTGATCTGGAAGAATGGGAATATGGAGGTATGCCTCTGTGAGGTCAATGGAGGAGAGAAGGTCATTGGGCTGAATGCTCTCCAGAATGGACAACAGAGAAGGCATTTTAAACCTCCGGTAGACTATAAATTTGTTTAGAAATTTGAGGTCGAGAATTGCTCTCCAACCCCCCCAAAGACTTAGGCACTATGAAGAGACGGGAATAAAACCCCTGCCCAACCTCCTCGATGGCCTGAATTTGGAGGAGATGACCGATAGCTAATTCAACCAGATGTCTTTGGGAAGTGTCCCTAGAGACAGGACAAGGTACGAAAGTCTACGGGGGGCTGGAAAGAAATTCCAGGGCCAGGCCAAACCGGACGGTACGCCTGATCCAGGAGTCTCTGGTGATGTCATCCCAGCAATCAGCGAAGGCGGACAGGCGTCCCCCAATAGGGAGGTCATCAGAAATTTCCTTTCTGCTTTCGAAAGGTACAGTTTGAACCGCCCTTGAAGGGCTTTCTATAGGAGAATCGCTGGGAGTTTCGGTTGGACCTGTCCTGGAACTGCTGGCCCTGCCTCGGGGGAACCTGGCGCTGAGGACGGGGTAGGCAAATGCCCTGTCCATCCCACGAAAGGACGACCTGCGAAAGAAAGGTTTAGGGTCAGACTTGTGGTTTGCAGAAGAAAGCACCTTGCGTTTGTCCTTGGACTTACCAAGAGAGGCTCCAGAGGAGCACCAAAGAGCAGACCGGTTGAGAAGGGGGCGGACGCCAAGCACCACTTTGCTCTGGGCTCCGCTTGCCACTGCTTCAGCCAAAGAAGACGTCTGGTGGTGATGGTAGAAACCATGGACCTAGAAGAGAAACGTACCGCATCCAGAGATGCATCTGCTGCGTACTTCATTGCCGCCTTAAGCTTGTTGATATCCTGGTGAGCGCGGGAATCTCCAGGAGGGATCCTGTCCTGCATCTGCTTTAGCCAACAAAGGGCAACCCTGTTGAAAAATGAAGAAGAGGCGGCCTTGGCCGCCCATGCAGTGGACTGATGGCCCTTTACCAGTGACTGGTCAAAGTGTTTGTCCTCAGGGCGGAGAGCGTCCTCTGGAGCAGTGGTGGCCGCATTAGGCAATGACAAAGACACCACTGGGAGATCAATGGAAGAAACCTCCTAAAGTTTATAGAGCTCTGGGCTGATATTATACAACTGTTTGTCCAGACTAGAAGGGGCCCTGACCCTGGAGAGGCCCGCTGATTTTGAATCACCTCCAGAAACAGTTTCGGGGAAGGAACTATGTCCTTTTCGACGGTGGACGTGAAAAGATGGGATCTGTGGTGTCTGACTTGTCTGCCTCCGAAGAGGAGGATGGTTTAGAAGCCGGAATACCAGAAACCACCTTGGCTTTAAACAAGACGGAGTAAAACAAGGCAGGTTTGAACAGGCCCAATAAGGCAAAAGAAGCAGGGGTCGAATTCTCATCCTCTGACAGGTCGGAATCATGAGTGACCTGCTCCTCAGTATCCACCGCAGGAGGCTGAGAAGCACTTGCAGAAGTCGCCCTTTGGGACTGGTTGGAACGACACCCCCCCCCCTTAGATTTTTGGGAAGTGGAACAATGAGGCATGGTAGCAGCAGGAGGTCGATGCTGAAGGCCTGCAGCAATGCCCCACTCAATGGCAGCTGCTATGATGTCAGCCATATCATCAGGCTTGATGGAGACAGCCCTGGGGGCAGGGGAACCCACATCTATGTCAGGGGTGATTCTGCCATCCCCTTGAAATCCAATCCCATCCTCCGAGTTCCAGGGAGAAGCTGAGGGGGGGGGGGATATCCCCTTCAATATCAGTGGAGAGGTCCTACATTGGGTTGAAATTAGATGGAGGAGAAACCCTAGGAGCGGGTGCAGGAGTGGAGCAATGATTGGTCTTGGAAGTGGCCTTACGAGGAGCAGGATCAGAGGCATTGTCATTAGGTGAACTAGGAGTAGTAGCTTCCTGGGTCTCATGAGGAGGAGCAGGCCTAGGAGCCTTAGCAGGCTTGGTAGCAGAAGGCTTGTTATAGGTTCTCTTTTTGCTCCTGGGCTCAGAGGGGACTGGAGCAGAGGGGGGCAATTGGACTGGGTGAATCCCCCTCTTCAGGAATGGTCCCGTTGGTCACCATTACTCACAGTTACTGTGAAACATCGTAGGTGGCTTCCCGCCCAAACAAAATGGCCGCTGCTGCTTTCCCGCCTAAATTAACTGCCTTCAGAGTAGACAAGGCCCTGAGGAAGGGCTGAGGTGGTGAGCCGGCAAGGCAGCTTATCGGCCGGCAGTTTGCAGCCCAACCGCTCCGGCGCCAGGAGAGATTCGGAGCCGACAAATGACGCTGCTGGTGGCAAGAAGAGGCGGCTTGGCAAATGAAGCCTGTGGTCGCCGCGATGAAAGGAGGCTTTTCCGGTGGCGCGGTTGCAGCGATCGTCCCTCCGGAGCCTTGAAGTGAAACTTCTGGTGCTCTTCAGGCAGCGCGGCAGAGGCGAGCGGTAATGAGGGAGCCTGAGAGCGAACCTTGTAGGCTGGCCACGAGGTCTCTTAGCTGCTAAGGCAGCCAAGGCACAGAGAGGCAAAGACCTCGTAAAGACTGTAGCGCTCTAAAAGAGCGAGGAAGGAGCCTGATTGACAGCAATTTGAAGAGGAAGCCAATTAAGGAGTTTGAGAGAATT